GCAGATTCCCCGTCGCGCACTCAGCGACGTAATAAGCAAAGACAAGCGAGGCACACGCCCAGGCACGCCCCTCATTGGCGGCCCAGCACCCACGCGCACACCCGCGCCGCGTACCCCGGCAGAAGCCGGCCCGCAGCAAAACGCAGCTGGCGCCCGCCGGCCACCCCGCCACCCCGCACGAGGGCCGAAGGCGGGGAAGGCCGAAGGCTCTACGCGCAGCCAGCGACACATTTCGCGCCGCCCGGCGGCAGGGCACACGAAGCACGCACTCGGGGCGCAGCAAAGAAACAAGCAATACGTCCACAGAAAATAAAAAAGAGAAACACACTCCGTTCCTGCAAAAGATAAAATAAGAAAACACAGTTAGTACACGCATCAATCGCACAGCGGGTATATCGTATCTCCCGAGGCCCGTCGTATACGGGCGGGGGGCGACGTGTCGTGGCCGAAGCGGGCCATGAGCGCAGCGTAGTCGTCCTCCTGTACATGGTGGACACACATGGAGGTCGACACCACCTGCGAGTGCCCCGTGCCGTTGCGGCTGTCATGGAAATGACAGCCCAGCACCTTCACGTGAATCAGTGGCGTGTACTTCACCTCATTCACCAGAACCCACGCAACCATGATGTCTTCGTGCTGAAGCCGTAGCGAGGCAAACTCCTCCTCCCGCTCCTTGGTGTACGGCAGGTAGACCAGGCGCCGCAGCGGCTCGTACGACACCAGCGCCTCCGCCACGCCTCTCGACATCGTGTAGCACCAGCCCACCATGAAGTTCACACCAGGCAATCTTATTTTTCCCCATACAAAACCGACACCCACATGATACCCCATGTAGATGTCCCGGCGCGGCAGAAGGCGCAGGAAGGCCACATAGAGCGGCACACGGAGGAACATGTCGTCATCGCCCTTCGCAAGGTAGCTGGCGGTGGGGAACGTGCGGAGGGCCAAGTGAAGCCACATGTACACCTTACGACTCATACCAATCTCCGCCTCAGAGCCCCAGTTGCCACGGCCAATAATGGTCTTGTTCGTCGTCACACGGCCCTCATTCATCGGCAGCGCGACCACGTCGTTCCACAGCGCCGCCTCCTCCTGCAGCGCGGCAGAGTAGTTGTAGCCGTGTGCCGGGTGCCGCCCAAGGACGTACAGCACAAGCATCGCGCCGGTGAAGTCATTTGCCCGCGTTGCCACACCGGGGAAGCGCCAGCACGTCGACCGCTGCAGGTTGCGTCGCCGCCGCCTCGCCTCGTCATCCGTGGAAAGATGCCCAGCACGAGCAGGTACTGCCGCCGGCTCCACGTGTCTACAACACTCCGTGGGATGAGGGCAAGCGCCGCGTCGTCCGCTGCGACGGCTCGCGAGTGGAGGTAACTGTCGCCTCCTGCTGCGTCGCCATCGGCGGCAGTGTCAAGCCTGAAGGACAGCAGGGTCGTGGCCAAAATGAAGAGAAGCAGCAGCAGAGCAACAAATCTCAGCTTCCG